GTTTTTGGCATTTCAATTTAGAATTTAGCTTTCTAATTTATAGATCAATGGATGAATAATAAAATAATTATTTTTATATAAAAAGATATTTAATGGTATTGGTAATGATACTGTTATGCAACGCTTTCAAAACATGAAAACGATTCGAGGAATATTGTAATATGTTGTATGAAAAACTTTATGGATTAATATATTAGTGTTTTGTTCAATAAATTCTTGAGATTTTTAATTGTGACTTTATTGTTTAAGGATGCCCATGCTCATATAAATATCTGGCTTCGTCCCTGGCTACAGTGGAACTTGTTAGGAATTGGACACTTGAGTTCAAGGAATATTATATTCAAATGCAAGCTGCCAAAAGAAGCCAAGCACCTCTTCCTTCACAAGTAACTCGAGCTACCTTTGCCTTAACCTGTGCGGTGCCTTGACTTTTATGCTTCATGAAACCTTATGCATAATTATTTTGTCTTGGGAGACTTACTTTATGAGACATTGGGTCTTAAAGCCTTCAGCGTTTTGCTTCTCTTGGGTTAACTTCAAGATCCTTTTGTGTTATTTTCTCAGTAGTTTTCTAGTGTTGAATATGTCCCACTCGACCTTTACTTTACATTCAGTTGTAACATGTGGGACTCTTTATCTCCTTCTACTTATATACCTTTATCGGTTTAACTTTCATATTTGCATGTGAAGGTAAATGATGACGGGATAATTCTTGACATAACAATAACTGATCAAGTGTTTATGTGGAAAAGTAGTAGGGGCCTAACTGATAAGGTGGAAGCTGATCATGCTTGTTCTAGTGAAAAGTGCACTTACTACCAAATTGGAGATGTATTTGTTGTGAGAAGACTGGCCAGGTTCATGGTCGGTATCAACGAATATCATGCACTTTGTGTGTTCATGCGTGAATTTTATGTAGGATTGAAGTCTCATCCAATTATTTTTCATGTTCTCTTCTTCAGTATGTGATGATAATTGCAGAGAAGTTGTTATGGATCCGGCCAATGAGCTTTGGGTCTGCACAATATCTGGGCACTGTTTCGGTAGGCTTCTATCACCGGAAGAAATGGAGTCTGATGCTGTGAGTGGACATCTCCTCTGCCTTGCAATTTGTCGTCATTATACAACAATTTGTCATCAAGTTGCCCCTCAAATATGAGATATTTTCTAGTTAATATAAATAGTTAAAACTTAATTGTGTTAGGCTTAGTTATTGATAATTTGGTATGCCCCTTGAAACTCACTTTTAGTTTCACTCTGCCCCATTAATCTGAAAATGTGCTACTTAACCCCCCAAACATCAACTAGCTGTCAATTTTGTTTTCTCATTTCTTGTAAAAAAATTAAGGGTAAAAGACTGTTTACTACCTTAATGTTTCGTGGTTTTCAACATTTAGTACATCAAGTTTTTTTTGGCTCAGAGTCATACCTAAAGTGTAAATTTTGGGACAGTCTCATACATCCGTTAGTTAAACTGTTAAGTCTCCCGTTAACTGTGAAGTGGCGCCCATGTGGACACTGACTGGGCGCCACGTGTCATCCACGTTTTTTTTTTCTTCTTCTTCTTATTGCAACTTTTTTTTCCCTTCATCCTCCTTCTTCCTTCTTTTTCCTTCTCCTCCTTCTTCATCTTCTTCCTCCAAATCTGGGGAAGACCTTTTTTTTTTTCCTCCTTCTTCCTTCTCCTTCCTCCTTCTTCTTTCCTCTTCTTCTTCTTCCTCCAAATCTGGGTTGCAGATTCGGTTTTTTTTTTCTCTTTTCTTCTTTCTTCTTCTTCTTCTTCCTTCCTTCTTCCTCCTTCTTCTTCCTTCTTCTTCTTCTTCCTCCGAATGAAACTTTTTTTTTTCTTCCTCCTTCTTCTCCTTCTTCCTTCCTCCTTCTTCCTTCCCCTTCTTCTTCTTCCTCCGAATCTGGGGAAGATTTTTTTTTTTTGTCTTCTTCCTCCTTCTTCCTCCTTCTTCCTCCTTCTTCCTCCTTCTTCCTTCCTCTTCTTCTTCTTCCTCCAAATCTGGGTTGCAGATTCAGTTTTTTTTTTTTCTTTTTTTTTCTTCTTCCTCCGACTACAACTTTTTTTTTTCTTCCTCCTTCTCCTTCTCCTTCTTCCTTCCCCTTCTTCTCCTTCTTCCTTCTTCTTCCTTCTCCTTCTCCTTCTTCTTCTTCTTCTTCTTCTTCTTCCTCCGAATCTGGGGAAGATTTTTTTTTTTCTTCTTCCTCCTTCCTCCTTCTTCTCTTCCTTCTTCTTCTTCTTCTTCTTCCTCCGACTGCAACATTTTTTTTTTCTTCCTCCTTCTTCTCCTTCTTCCTTCTTCTTCATTCTCCTTCTTCTTCTTCTTCTTCTTCCTCCGAATCTGGGGAAGATGAAGGTTTATATATATATAATTTTATTTATTTATTTTATAAATAATTTATTTTTAATTTCCACGTGGATGACACGTGACGCCCAGTTAGTGTCCACATGGGCGCTACGTCACAGTTAACGGGAGACTTAACAGTTTGACTAACGGATGTATGAAACTGTCCCAAAATGTACACTTTAGGTATGACTTTGAAACGAAAAAAACTTTATGTACTAAATGTTGAAAACCATGAAACATGAGGGTAGTAAACAGTCTTTTACCCAAAAATTAAAATGCAATAGGTGATTTGGCTAGTTGTTAGCCATGTAGTGAACAATTTGTCTCTGTCGGTTTATATAGTTGCTAATGCTTGGTCATTTCCTTTAAAAAAATAAATTCAGGAGCAGCAGCAAGGAACTGTGACAGACGAAGCATAAACCATTCCTGGGATCTGGGCGCTTTGGTAATCAAGTTGCCTTTTTGTTTTTGTTTTAGAAAAGTGGAATGTCCTTAATAATTTTCTGTTTTTGTGGCAGCAAGAGCCTATATGATGGGATATAATTGTGTTGATGAGAAAGAGCTAGAGGATGCTTTGAGGTTTGTTTGAACAGAATAAAGTCCCAGTCCCATATTGGTGGGAGTGAAATTATTGGGTCAGGCACATGGACCGCGTTACTCATGTCGCTGGCACACTCAGAAAAAATACCTTTCATTTGGCCAAACCCACCCCAAGACCAGGAGAGATATTTTAGTGTGTAAAAAACACGGCCCAGCATATCAATGTCAAAATACAAGTAGTTGGATACTTGAAATTTTTTCTCCAATCACTTGTATTATGACACTTGTTACACCGGATCATGTCCCAATATAATCGGCCATGTATATCAATGTCGTAATATAAGTGGTTGGATACTGAAATTTTTTTTTCCAACCACTTGAATTATGAAACTTGGTGCACCAAAATATGTTGGGAGAAATTTTTTCCAGAAGTCACTGAGAGGAAAGCCAGCCGTAGCCCGAAGTGGGTTGTCTTTATTCTCTTGTATTAAAATAAAAAATATGCTTCATAAAAACAAAAAAAAAAGCTTAAGCTCAACTTTGTATGCATATTACATTAGATATACTGTTGTATTGTTATGATCATCATCATCATCAGTGCCGTGAGACAGATAGAGATACAGGGTGGTTGCTGTTGCTGTCAATTTGGAATTGCAGTTAAATTAGCTTTAGCTTTGTTTTTCTTTTCTTTTCTTTTCTTTTGGGGTGTGATTCCATTCCTTTATGCATCTGTGTAATCTGATATTTCCTCTTTACTCTTTATGCAATTGTCATCTTTACTAAACTGTAAAACATGGGCATTGTTATTGCTCCACTTCTGAACTTCCCCCATGTTTATTGTTTACTAATATATTGAATCATGAAGCAATTATCATCAAATCCTTGTTGATTGATTAGCCCTCACTTTAAGCCTTGACATTTCCTTGTCGGCAATCCCAGACCCAAGAAAATGGTCACGAGCTTCCCGAGTTCACCCTTCTCAGTCCGAAACCAATATACATTACATACTGGTCGCCCGTCCTTGTATGGTTCCCCATTAATCACCCAAATTGAACCAACTAGATTGAATTGTCACAAGCAAATCAATCATCGGATTCAATCATGTCGATGTCGATTTTTATTTAGGAAGCAATCCAAAGATATATAAATTATCCAAAGCTTATTGAAATTGAATTGTATCAGTCAGTATAAAGGATTGAATTTGTTGAATACTCGATTGAATTGTACTTCAATTTAATATGTCAAATTTGAAACTTATACCAATTTTGGTATGAAAATACCACTTTACTAGTTGGTAAAATGTTGTAAATAACATTTTTATCATCCCTTCCTTGCAAAAGAGTTTTGTTTTTACTTCCAAACTTTTTTTAACTTGGTGCCTTGTTGGTAACCTGTTGCAATAATAATACTGTAACGCACGCCTCTCTATATACCCAAACCAACCCCGTCAGTCTCTTTGGGGGCGTTTGTTGCGCCGGACTATCTCAGACTGGACTAGTTTCAAGGATTAAGCTGGACTGGCTTAGACTAGACTAAGCTGGACTAACTTAGTGAAACGTTTGGTGTAGTATTGAACTAAGAAGCTGGATAATAACAAATTCTAATATTATATTATTTAATATATAAATTATTAATATTTTATTATGATCTAGGTGACCGGAGATGATGATGAGTCTATCGGGAGTGGTTGTTGAGCATGACGAGGACGAGAGATGATAGTCTTAGCTAGTCCCATGGTTATTAGGGGGTCTTGCTAAGACCTCTTAGTGAAGGGTTTTGTCCATGCTAGTCTCCTTTAGTCTCATTAATGTTAGTCCCAGTATAGAACAAACACAGTATTGGACTAACCGCTAGTCCAGTCCAGTCCCGTTAGTGAGGCAAACAAACGCCCCTTTTGGTTTTAAAAACCCTAACATTTATCACACAGAGGAGAGGACAAAGAGACAGCCCTCCCCTCCCCTCCCCTGGTACGCCACACGCCACACGCCACACGCCACACGCCACACCCCCACATCCCTCACCACCTCCCCACCCCTTCGTATACTTAGCAGCCAGTCTGCCCTTCGTCGCCACCGCCGTCTCATCTGGTTCGTTTTCTTCGTAAGTATTTGGTGTATTTTGGTCCTGTGTATCTGGGTGCCGGAAAACAAAGATCAAGAGAGAACTGTTTGATTATTATTTGAAAATCAGTGGGCATATTATTTTCCTCTGATTGTTAGTATTGATTGAAATTTGACAAATTAGTAGATGGTGTGTTGGGCGATTTGGATACAGTTTTAGCTAATGACTCTTCTCTTGAAGCCTTTGGGATTAATGAAATTGACCAAGTCCTCCACTTACTTCAAATTTTTACAGATGTATATTTCAATTTCTGTTTCTTGTGTAAATATTTTTTTTTATGCAATCCAATCCAGCCTTTGTTTGATCATGCGCACCGCATGTTTTACCAAATATAGACAAAAGAAAGGGGCATATGTCTTTAATCTCTTTCTCTCTCTCTCTAGCTTAATCTGATTTTGTTGATTTATTGGGGATAGAATAAGATTAGGAAATGGCAGACCGGTTGACCCGTATAGCAATCGTGAGCTCCGACAGATGCAAGCCAAAGAAGTGCCGCCAGGAATGCAAGAAGAGCTGTCCTGTTGTCAAGACTGGTATATTACAGTATCCCTTCTTAATTTTATTATTTCCATTGTTTCTATTCATAAAGGAAATAGCATATCAGGATTGATGAATCACTCAAGATAATGGTTTCTTTTATTTTCACAAAAACTTGCAAATATTTTCTTGTTTCTTGAATTATGAGCTTGATATATGTTTCTTAAGGGTATTGCGATGCACAATTCTTGATCACTTAGATTCAGTAGCTGATTGTTTAGCATGTGAACTGTTATTTATCACGAAACTTATTATATGTGTTCAATTACTTGATAACTCTTGCAAGTTGAATTACCCATAAACTTTATTAAGCTCTAACTAGATGGTACATGAAAGCAAGGAAAGATTCTACTAATGGCTACTTACAGGCATGAGCTCCAGTATATAGTGTGGTGGCTCCAAATAGATTTGATATTTCAGTTTTGGCAGAGTTCCTGTATTGCATTCTAATATAAAGCTGATTTTCTAGTGTTGAACACGTTTATTAATATACTGTTGTCTTATAGTGCTAAAAATATACACCATCTTTACCTAACTAATCAATCTACAGGTAAACTATGTATTGAGGTTACCCCTGCATCAAAGATTGCTTTTATCTCGGAAGAATTGTGCATTGGGTGTGGTATCTGTGTTAAGGTCTGTAAACATTGTTGTTACTGTTCTTTTGTGTTCCCTACATCAGTTGGTTCTAAACTCATTCATTGGACTATGTTCCATCTCATGACGTAGAAATGCCCATTTGAAGCAATCCAAATCATCAACTTACCAAAGGATTTAGATAAAGATACGACCCATCGTTATGGGCCTAACACTTTCAAACTACACAGGTTAGCTCCTTACCACATTATTGGGAAGTGATGATGACCATGTTATCCTTTATGTGGCTAACAGAAACTCACAATTTCAGGTTACCAGTCCCAAGGCCAGGTCAAGTTCTTGGTTTGGTTGGAACAAATGGCATTGGGAAGTCGACTGCCCTCAAAGTTTTGGCTGGAAAGTTGAAACCAAATTTAGGCCGTTTCAAGGTAATACTCCTTACAAAATTCCTTTCTCTGATATGTATAAAATATTATTCAAATTCATTTAGCTGTATTCTTTGATTAACTTGTCTTCATTTTAATTTTTTTATTTTTTTAGAATCCTCCAGATTGGCAGGAAATCTTGACCTACTTCCGGGGATCTGAGCTGCAGAATTATTTTACCCGTATTCTGGAAGATAATTTGAAGGTACCTTTTGATGCTCATAACGTTTATTATCGAATTTGAATGATTTAGACGAATAGAAATTTGTCTGTTCTATCCAAGGTATTTTTGAGCTGCAGTGCCTTCTATTGCTGCTTCCATTACTAGGTGGGTGCTCTTAGTGTCATAAATAGGATGGTCAACATACCTTTATACTGTCTTCACTGTATCCCGATGAATTCCAAGTTTAGTGGTTCTTCTGGCCTAGTCTGTAGAAACAAAATGCATGCGTTTCAAATTTGTTTGTTTTTGTAACTATTATACTGTTTTATTTAATAATTTTTTTGCTTCATGCTGATTGCATAATTATATTTTTCTTTCCTTCACAGGCCATTATAAAGCCCCAGTATGTTGATCACATTCCAAAAGCAGTTCAAGGAAATGTTGGGGAGGTGCTCAACCAGAAAGATGAGAGGGATATGAAGGAAGAACTGTGTGCTGATCTTGAGCTGAACCAGGTTATAGAACGTAATGTAGGGGATTTATCAGGTGGGGAGCTTCAAAGATTTGCCATTGCTGTCGTTGCCATACAGAATGCAGAGATATATATGTTTGACGAACCTTCAAGTTATCTTGATGTGAAACAGAGGCTTAAAGCTGCCCAAGTTGTCCGATCTTTGCTTAGGCCTAATAGGTCTATTTTTATATATTTATATTTCTGAAATTTTCATTGCATGTGTTTGCTGGATTCTTTTTCTTGATTGTCTTCCTTCATGTTTAGCTGATCGGATATTTCCTTGTGTTTTCAGCTATGTAATTGTTGTGGAGCATGATCTTAGTGTCTTGGATTACTTATCAGACTTCATTTGCTGTTTATATGGGAAACCGGGTGCGTATGGAGTTGTGACACTTCCGTTCTCAGTTAGAGAAGGAATCAACATCTTCTTGGCCGGATTTGTCCCCACCGAAAATCTTAGGTTCCGAGATGAATCTCTGACATTCAAGGCAAGATTATAAATTAAGGGAACATTACCCCAACCTACATGCTCCACTCAGAAAGCTTCAACATACAAGCTTCAACAAAAGAAAATTCAAAGAACTTAGCGAAGAAGGCTTTGGTGTATTTAACACAATACGTTGAAATGAAGGAAAACTTATTTATTGATATCCCCGATAAGCTACAAATATGTACATATACATGCGTCAAAATAAACAAACAAGATGGAGCCTTCACAAAGGTTGCTTAGGAGAAGTCTCAGCAGTCGGTAGAGCCCCAGAAAGAGAAGGCATCGGAGGGGGATCATTCGGAGCCTCAGTACTGGACAGAACCCTAGAAGGAGGAGGCATCAGAGGTTGATCATTTGGAGCTTCATTACGCGGTACAGCCCCAGAAGACGAAGACAATAAATGCCTTTGGAACAAACCCACAAATCTCTGATGATCAAGTAAAACCTGACCATCAGTTTCCTTCATCTGGTCAAGCTTCCTCTTCATGTTTGTAGCATAGTCATGTGCGAGCCGGTGCAACTATTTATTCTCATGCTTGAGCCCTCTAATCTCCTGTTTGAGACTCATCACTTCGGCCGCCAATGATTCAACTTGGCGGGTTCGAGCAAATAGGCGTTGGGCCATATTAGACACAGAACCTGCACACTGAACACTGAGAGCCAGTGAATCCTTAACAGCTAACTCATCAGACCGTTTGGAAAGTAGTCTGTTATCTTTGGGAGTGAGAAGGTTCCTGGCCACCACCGCAGCGGTCATATCATTCTTCATCACGGAATCCCCAACGGTAAGAGGACCAGTAGGGGAGACGAAGGATGGGCGCCATATGTTGTCTGGAGAAGGCGGGGCTGCCTCTTCAACAAGGTTCAAGTCAAAACGACGGTCGGAGGGGCCAGACATTTTCAAAGGTATTGAAGAGAGAAGAGGTCGGACAAATCAAGATCTTAGAAGTGCAAGAATGGAGCTTCTACTGGTGGAGATTCAAGTGTGCTTTGGAACTTAATGCCAGCCCCTATAAAAAGCTGCACTCGACGGAGCTTCAGACATCGAAGAGGCGCCTGCTCAGAAATCGAAGAGGCGTTTTGCTTTCTCAAAAAGCTGGGCTGCTTAGAGACCACGAGGGTTGATCTCATAAATCGAAGAGGTGTCTGCTTTCTCAAAAGTTGGGCTGCTCAAAGACCACGAAAGCCGATCTCAGAAATCGAAGAGGTGCTCGCTTCCTCAAAAGCTGGGCTCCTCAGAGACCACGCGGGCCGATCTCAGAAATCGAAGAGGCACCTACTTTTCCAGCTTTGTCAGCACCTGTCACACGCACACTCAGTTTTGCGAAAATTATGGGTATTCTGTCGAAGACTTCTGGGGAAGTAGAAAACACATGAATCTTACTGTCCAATCACCCTCTTCCCACACGCAGCAATAGCTCATGGGTACCACAGATAACTTTGCCAAAGTTCTCTGCCAAAGTTGAGCACATGAAGCTTGCAGCTCCCACTACATCGCTCTGACCAAGAAGGGTAAAAGAATAGCAAAGAAACAGCACTAACAAAGTTTAGACCTATAAATTTTGAAGGTCTAGCTACCATATTATTACCCACAAGGGTAAAGGAACAGTACCACTGTTGGATAATTGGAAAGTCCCTGTGTGTCAACCTCTGTGCCTCGTGGCAAGGTAGACTAGCAAACATGCCCAACCTTTACTCACATTCGAGAAAACACTCCCAATAAGATTGCTTGCTCCAAAATCGAAGAGGCACCGTCCTCCGAATCTCGAGAGCCAGACTCCCAACATGACTACTTTCTCAAAAATCAAAGAGAGGGTAAAGGAACAGTACCATTGCTGGATAATTGGAAAGTCCCTGTGTGTCAACCTCTGTGCTTCGTGGCAAGGTAGACTAGCAAACATGCCCAACATTTACTCACATTCGAGAAAACACTCCCAACAAGATTGCTTGCTCCAAAATCGAAGAGGCACCGCCCTCCGAATCTCGAGAGCCAGACTCCCAACATGATTACTTTCTCAAAAATCGAAGAGACACTGCTCCCCGAATCTCGAGAGCCAGACCCCAGCATGATTGCTTTCTCAAAAATCGAAGAGGCATCGTTCTCCGAATCAATCGAAGAGACGCTCGCTTTCTCAAAAGCTGGGCTGCTCAGAGACCACGAGGGCCGATCTCAGAAATCGAAGAGGCACCTTCTTTTCTAGCCTTGTCAGCACCTGTCACACGCACACTCAGCTTTGCGGAAATTATGGGCATTCTGTCGAAGACTTCTGGTGAAGTAGAAAACACATGAATCTTACTGTTCAATCACCCACTTCCCACACGCAACAATAGCTCATGGGTACCACGGATAACTTTGTCAAAGTCTCTGCCAAAGTTGAGCACGTGAAGCTTGCAGCTCCCACTACATCGCTCTGACCAAGAAAGGTAAAAGAATAGCAAAGAAACAGCACGAACAAAGTTTAGACACATAAATTTTGAAGGTCTAGCTACCATATTATTACCCACAAGGGTAAAGGAACAGTACCACTGCTGGATAATTGGAAAGTCCCTGTGTGTCAACCTCCGTGCTTCGTGGCAAGGTAGACTAGCAAACATGCCCAACCTTTACTCACATCCGAGAAAACTCCCAACAAGATTGCTTACTCCAAAATCGAAGAGGCACCGCCTTCCGAATCTCGAGAGCCAGACTCCCAACATGATTACTTTCTCAAAAATCGAAGAGACACTGCTCCCCGAATCTCGAGAGCCAGACCCCCACCATGATTGCTTTCTCAAAAATCGAAGAAGCATCGTTCTCCGAATCTCGAGAGCCAGATACCACATACCACTTTTTCAAAGTGCTCTGACAGAGTTAAAACATGTGAAGCTGGCAGCTCCCACTACCGTGCTATGACCAAGCAGGGTAAAGGAATAGCATTACTACTTGTTGTTAGGGAGACTCCTATATATGTCGACCTCCATCTCCAACGGACAGGCAGACCTGCAAAAATGCTCAACCCTTCCTCATATCTGAGAGGGCACTCCCAACGAAGCCTTTCGAAATATTCAGCTTTCTTTCCCCCGATAATACCTCTGCAAACAAGCTATACTAGAGCAAGAATATCTCATATCATCAGGGTTAAAAGCAAGAGTATCCCATATCATGCTTTTTCCCTGTCTTTTCCTTTGGCCTTGTTTTTACCTGCAAGACAAGGAGAAAGAAAGCAATCAGTCAGCACTTGAAATCAAGCTCCCAGCCAGGAACTGACAGCCTGGAACCCCTTACCTGATTACTTACCTGGCATTGCTCTCGAGTACTCATCTTCAACATCTTATGTTGCCAGGGAAGATACCGCATCTGCTTGAGGAACAGATAGGGCAAGTGCGAAGGATACAAGGAAGCATGTGGAGACAAGCGTAACAGCACACATGCCGATCCATCCATTACTCTGTCAAAAGCAAAAGTATCCCATATCAGCAGGGTCGAACGTACTCTAGATTTGATGGACTTGTTTTGACCCTCAAAATTCTTCAGTCGGCCTTGTACTCTGGAGGAAACCAGAAAAACCCTCCAGCTCAGTTCAAGAATAAGCCTGTTGGAAAGTTACTTCTTCAAAAGCAAAAGTATCCCATATCATCTCTTCTCATTTTTCTTCTCTTTATCCTTCATGCTGCTGCAAGATGGGGAGAAGGTGAACAATCAGCCGGAGCTCTGATTGCTTACCTTGTCTGTCACCTCTTTCAGCAAATCCCCTAGCTCGGCGACTTGGGGGACTCCTACTACATGGTTTGTATCGCGCTTGACCAAGCCTGAAACTACAAGTAAGCTTCAAGTGAAATTGATACATTACCTTGTGCATCTCCACCAGTTAAAGATACCACCCCTGGATGGAGGAAGAGTACTTCCAGAGAAGCTGCCACATCTACCTATGAGACAGATAAGGCAAGTCAAGAGGATACCACACTCCAATACTTAGAAGTTTCGTGATTACGAGATCATTCTCCCACAATATTTCCCAATGTCATTTGTACTCTAATGTCATTTGTACTAAATCATTCACTTGTACTCACTAAAGGAGAGCTTGAACCTATGTACTTGTGTAAACCCTTCACAATTAATGAGAACTCTTCTATTCCGTGGACGTAGCCAATCTGGGTGAACCACGTACATCTTGTGTTTGCTTTCCTATCTCTATCCATTTATATACTTATCCACACTAATGACCGGAGCAATTTAGCGAAGATCACAAAAAAGCGACCGTTTTCGCTACCTAGGATCTATCTTACAAGAGAACGGAGAATTAGATGGAGATCTCAACCATAGAATACGAGCTGGATGGATGAAGTGTAAGAGTGCATCCAGCATGTTGTGTGACCGTCGTAGGCCACTGAAGCTCAAGGGAAAATTTTATAAGACGGCAATAAGGCCAGCGATGTTGTATGGCACAGAATGTTGGGCGGTGAAACATCAACACGTACACAAAATGGGTGTAGCAGAGATGAGGATGCTTCGTGGGATGTGTGGGCACACGAGAAATGATAAGATTGAGAATGAGGATATCCGAGGTAAAGTAGGAGTAGCCGAAATTGAAGGAAAGATGAGAGAAAATCGGTTCCGGTGATTTGGACATGTGCAAAGAAGGCCGACTGACGCTCCGGTTCGAAGATGTGACTACGGGACAGAGGTTCAGGGCCGAAGGGGTAGAGGAAGACCTAGGAAAACTTTGGAAGAGACTCTAAGAAAAGGCTTAGAGTACTTGGATCTAACGGAGGACATGACACAAAACCGAGCGCAATGGCGTTCTAGGATTCATATAGCCGACCCCACTTAGTGGGAAAAGGCTTTGTTGTTGTTGTTGTTGTTGTATCGGTCTTCTGACTTATCAGTACTTTGTGATTTACTTGGTTGCCTGTATTAGGTTGCTGAGACACCACAGGAAAGTGCTGAGGAAATTGAGACATATGCACGATATAGATACCCATCAATGAGTAAAACTCAGGGAAACTTCAGGCTTCGTGTGGTTGAGGGTGAATTTACCGATTCTCAAATTATTGTGATGCTGGGTGAGAATGGAACGGGGAAGATAACATTTATTCGTATGCTGGTATTTTTAGTTTCTTTTTGCCATTTTCTTTTTCTTCTTTAACAATAGCTTTGCAGTTTGAGATGTTGATTTAATGTATATTCATCCGATTTTCAGGCGGGTCTATTGAAACCTGATTCTGTAGAAAATTCAGATGTGGAGATACCTGAATTCAATGTTTCTTACAAGCCCCAGAAAATCAGTCCAAAGTTTCAATACACTGTCAGACACTTGTTACATTCAAGAATTCGTGATTCATATACTCATCCACAATTCATGTCAGATGTGATGAAGCCTCTTCTAATTGAACAATTAATGGATCAAGAAGTCGTGAATCTCTCTGGCGGAGAGTTGCAGAGGGTTGCATTATGCCTATGCCTTGGGAAGGTAAATTTTGTTTATTTACGTTTGTGTAGGACACTTTGTATCTTGGGATGCATTCATTTGAACACTTTGTGGTACTCTTTTATATTTGTTGCCTTGGCTGCATCTGAGTGGGTGGAATTGCCTGTCTGTGTTTGGAAGTTGGAAATGGATCCAAGGTGTTGTTCTTTGAAACACAGACAATCCCACCCACTCCTTGGTCCCAGTTTTAAGGCGGATGCATGGTTACAAGACCTGCTGTCATGGGTCAGGTTCCGTGCCTTTGTGGAAGCTTGCTTGCAAGATCTGGCATTCTAGGGGATACGAGAACTATATTGTGATCCCTAGGAGTTAGCCAACCTCTAGGCATTGTTCTTTATTATATTGACTCGAGTTTATAGTTGTATATTTTTCTTTCCTCTGAGTTTGCGAATGAAAATTTTCTTATGCCACCATTAAAGATACAAGTTTTTCTTGTGAGATAGGAAACATGTTAGGTTTGCGCCCAAATAATTGAGGAATAAGAATGTGTCAGTTCTCAGTATGCAAGTCATTTATCTACCAATATGTTAAGTGGGTTTCTCTTGTGGCAATCTTGCTGTGCTCTGCTGCATAATAAACGATGTAAATATAGTGATTAGATGTTCATAAAAACAGATTCACTTAATTTTTTTTAATTGTTTGATGCCGGTAAGATTCTGCGTTATAGTTTGCAGCCTGCAGATACACTCTAATGTCCGCTTCTATTTACTGAATGCAGCCTGCAGATATTTATCTGATAGATGAACCAAGTGCTTATCTTGATTCTGAGCAGCGTATTGTTGCTTCCAAAGTCATAAAGAGGTTTATCCTTCATGCTAAGAAAACTGCTTTCGTGGTTGAACATGATTTTATTATGGCTACCTACTTGGCGGATAGAGTTATAGTCTATGAGGGGAGGCCGTCAATTGATTGTATTGCAAATTGTCCCCAGTCATTGTTGACTGGGATGAATCTATTCTTATCTGTAAGTGTTGCAATTAATGTCATTGCTCTCTCCCTACCTCGCTGTGCACAAGTGACTTCCATTGATATTTTTGTTTGTTTGTTTAAATCGTGCAGCATCTTGATATCACATTTAGGCGTGACCCCACTAACTATCGCCCAAGAATCAACAAATTGGAGTCAACGAAGGATAGGGAACAAAAAGCTGCTGGGTCTTACTATTACCTGGATGATTGATATAGTCGTGATGGTATGTTTCATTATTTACTCTGTTTTTCATGTTTTTGTTTTTGTTTTGTCAGAAGGTGTTCCACTTGCAGTCTTGGCCAAATTCGGAGGGCGTTAATATGATCTTAAAAATGGAATCACAGCTGAGTCATGACGTTCTGACAAATGATCGGAGGTCCTTTTTTCACCAGAGGCGAATGAGTTTTATGCAGTTATGGTAAATTAGTCTGTCATTGGGCGGGAGGCAATCTAGATGTACAATTTATGGTCTCATAGTATCAGTGATTGCATTTAACTTTATGTTTGAGGAAAGGATGTCTTTTTGTGGTCGTTGTGGTGAGATGAGGTTCCTTGATAGATGTTTAACTCTTGTGCTTTCTGGGTTTATGTGACGGTGCTTTCATCTCTCGTGATAAATTTTGCTTTTTACCAACAGAAATTTAATTGGCGTCAATCTTGTTCATTCTATTTGCAATCAACTCGTCACAACTTGTCGTCTCTACTCCATAATAACAAGAAGCTCTAATTTGCGGGCTAGCAATCCTCATGTGAACCTTCTTAGCAATAGCACCTGTCTCCCTCAACAACCTAACAATTTTGGGAGACGTTAAAGCCAATTGGGTAAAAGGAAGAAATAGAAAATGGCGTCGTAGCATTTTTATCGACGTTGTGCGTACCGATTAATGCTTACTCTCGATCGTCATGCATACAAAGGCTAAAATCAAATCAAAGCAACAAAATTGGGGAAAATAAATATATTCTACACAAAAGTTAATTAGTTGTTCGAGGAATTTGTTCACTCTTGCTTATGAGTTGCAGAAGTGCATTTGCCTTCCTTTGACCTCTACTGGTTCCACTCCTTGTGATCTCTACCAAATGCTCATACACACCAAACTGCAGTGCGGCAAGTAAGAAAGAGTAATTGCTTGACCCCAACTCGAGAAGAACTGACGTTGCACATTCCTTGTTTGGGCGTTCCTTCCCCCATAAATTCCACTAGAGTTTCAATGAATGAAAGCTGTCCAATCTCTTGTCGTCCATCTGGATGTGATGCAACAAGTAAGAAGATGGAGAGCGCTTCATCGACCATGCCCAAGTTTCGGTCCTTGAGTAGCTGGTAAAGGGATACCACATAGTTAATAGCTTTTACATCTGTATTTTTTGGTTATAACAGTCTTGTAACTAATCTCTGTGTTAAGAGATTAAATTAAGTATAATTAGTTACTAAGCCTAATTAGACAAATGTATATAAACTGAGTTGTATTCCTTTCTCATTAAGAAAGAAATAATAAAAGATCTTCTTTTCTTATATGGTATCACCGCCTTTCTGCTTCACTGCCTCTCGATCCTTCGATTTCTATTCTTCAGCCATCGCCACCGCCACCGCCTTCGCCTCTTGATCTTCTTCGTTCTTTGATCTTCGGCCGTGGCGTCTTCGACTTCCTCTCCTGGAGAGCCTGAATTTGTTCCTTCTCATCCTGCAAATTCTTTCCCCAATTTTGCACCGATGAACCCTAATTCTTCTAATTCTTCTTCGATCTCATCAATTTCTTCCATAACTGTTCAGAATATTAGCTGCATGGTCCCTACAAAGCTCAAGCGTGATAATTACCTCGTCTGGAAAGCTCTATTTGCTCCGATTTTCCAACGATACAAACTGACCAGCATCGTTGATGGCTATGAAGTTTGTCCGCCATCTTATGTTCTTGATGCATCTGGTCACAATATTCCGAATCCTGCTTTCAAGATTTGGTATGAAAAAGATCATAATATCTTGATTTGGTTGAATTCTACGCTTTCTGAGGATATAGTTCCATTCACAGTTGGTGTCACATCAGCTCGAGATCTATGGTTGAATCTTAAGCATCAATTTGGTGGAGTCTCTGCCGCTCACATTCATCAACTTCATTCTCGTCTTCACTCTGTGCACAAAGGCGATCTCTCTATCTCTGATTATTTGTAGAAAATTAAAGGCCTTGCTGATTCGTTAATGGCTGCTGAAGCTCCTATCAGTGATCATGATTTGATTGTTGTTACTCTCAATGGAATGCCTGATGAGTATGAGTCTTTCATTGACTCAATCATGCTCCGCCTTTCGACCACAACATTAGATGAACTTCATGGATTGCTGATCAACAAGGAGGTTTTTATGCTTCGCAAGAAAAAAGGTGTAAATTCTTCTGCTTTTGAGCCTTTTCAGGCTTTTGTTGCGCAGTCTCAACCTCCACTTCTTCCTACACCACAGTTCTACAATTTTCCTCAAGCCTATGCGGCTCATCAGTCATTCTCCAATCCTCCACCAAAGTTTTCTAACAACAATCGTGGTCGCGGTCCTTTTCAACGTCGTGGTAATGCTCATAAGAATTTCAACAATTTTCATGGTCATTTTCCAATTCTGAGGATTCTCATAGCAATTACAGGAATAATAACAACTCTGGCAATCGCAATAATCCTGGTGTTAGTCGCAATAGTTTTGGTGGCAAAACTCCTTGCCAAATTTGGAACTCCTTTGATCACGAAGCTCTGGATTGTTATGAGAGAATGAACCCTGCTTTTGCTGGCAGAATTCCTCCTGCAAAGTTAGCTGTTATGTGTGCTCACACCAGTTCTAAACAATCTCCAACTACTTAGTTGATGGACTTGGGTGCCACCTCTCATATCACTAATGACATTTCTGCTATCCAATCTCCACATCCGTACTCTGGCGAAGACAAGGTGTATATTGGTGATGGACAAGGTATGGCTATCCATCACACTGGTAATTCTACAGTCTCAACACCAGTTGCTTTCAGATTGAGTAACATTCTTCATGTTCCACTGATGAAATTTAATTTGCTCTCTGCTTATCAATTCTTGAAAGATAACCATTGTTCCTTGACCCTTGATTCTGATGGTTCTGAAATCAAGGATCGTTCTTTGGGGATGACACTTTTTCGCGGTCCAGTTAAAGACAGATTCTATCCCTTTCATGGTCTCTCTACTGTTCTTGCTCCTCATTCTGCGTTCTTCAGTACCAAAGAATCGTTGAAAACATGGCATAAAAGACTTGGTCATCCATCTTCTGCTATGTTTCGGAGAATATTAAATAAGCGTAGTCTTGCTCACAGTGGTGACAAACTTG